TGGTTAAAAAACTACATAGTAGGAAATTACTAGCACGTAAAAATAAAAAGTGTCATCTCTTTTTTCACTCGTTTACATTCCTTCCTTTTTATCCTTTTTACCTTCCTATTTTTCCCGCCGTTTTCTTAAAGCTTATATCAATACTTTTGTTTCCACCTGCGTTCCCAGGAAATGATCATATTCTTCCCTCCTGGCGTCGTTTCTCTCCAGCAAAACAAGCCAGGGTAATTGGGTCACACGTTTCTTCAAGGTACTGCATTTCCATACTTCCACACTCTTGCCTTTCTTAAGGGTTATAATTTTTATCTGGTTTCTCTCCATTTATTCCAAAAAGTTACATTTTGAAGAAGGATAGAGATATGAGTATTGAGAGTTGAAACGTGTAGTACTCTGAATATAAATAATATTATGGATTTTGGACCTTCTCCTGAAGTAGTTGTTAGTTTCATTCTTTCTTGTCTTACTCATTTGTTGATATTCGACAACCATTCTTTTGCATGTTCAATCTACAAAATTCAGTAGTAGCAGTAGTAGCATAAACGGGGACACTTTGGACCAGACTGGAACACTTGAGGGCATGATAAAAGGACCAGACAGAACAAGGAATCCGATTTAGAGGACTGATGCATGGTCCATGCGTAGCTTTGGTGTCTGGACATTGTAATTCCATCACCCGACACAAACATAAGCACACCTGATCTAATGTATTATTTTTGATTGAATTGTGGAAAACAAATTCTGTTTTTCTAGCCATTGAAAAGTCAGTGAATTGTTCCAATCCGAGGAGAAGCCATAGCGCAAGGTTTGAACCCTCTCTGCCTTTGGTAAGCCAAGGATGGATTGTTAATCGAAATGGCAAATCTTATCAGAGCGGTATATATTATGATTAGATGTAATTCTAATTCCTGAATTCTTAATCATCCTTCATTGTGTATATGCATATAATTCCTTTTAACTTCATTTCCATTTAGGATCAAATGTAGCCGGTGGTAAATTTTGGCAGCTCTTATTTTGCATTTAAGGGTATACTAGAGACTGATTAACCACAGATTGTGGGGTGGTTGCAAGCAAAGGTAGGAAGCCAAACTAACATCACGTTACTTGTGCTATCGATGGCTATAATAACCTTGGAGGCCTTTGTTGAGAAGACAAACAATAGAGTCATTTTTGCTGAATCCAACGAGGACTTTGTTGATATTCTCATCAGTTTCTTCACAATGCCCATGAGAACAATAATCAAGCTCACTCATAATCAAACAGCAGAAGTGAGTGTAGGTTGCATTAACAACTTATATAAAAGTGTTAAGAAACTTGAGGTAAGATGTCTCCAGACAGAAATACGCAGGAGCCTATTACTATACCGGTGAAGTGCAGCAGCTGCTCAGTGTGAGAACCTAAAACTGAAATTAGATGATTTTAAGCATCTGACATATTTTTGCTGCACTGCTAGCTGTGGAAGTTCAAACAAGCCATTAAGTCATTACAGTGATGCTATTTGTGCTTGTGGAAAGCGCATGACACATGGGACGACTTTGGTCATGAAAAAGGATTTTGATGCTGAAGATGGAGGACTCTTTGTCAAAGGGCTGACACAACTGATAATAAGTGATGAATTACAAGTAGTTCCCTCATGAAGTGCAGCAAGCTTTTGTCTACTTTCCAAGCTTGGGATCATGGACGGAAGCGCAATTGAAGAGAGGTCCTTCATCGTTGGAGTAGATCAGGTAACTAAGAGATTTATGGATTCTCACTAGTCACATCAATGAGTAGTTTTGATATATACTCATGCATAATCAATAACATGATGCCTTCTTTAACCAAAAAAACATGATCTCTTCTCTCAGGCTTTGCAACTGATCAAGTGCTCGCTAATAGCAAAGATACCTTTGATTTTTTTTGAAAAACTGTTTGGAACCTGAGCTAACTGAAAATGATTTTGAGCAGGGAAGCGCAAGAAAGCGTAAATTAGAGGCAATATCAAACCAGCATGGGAAGATTGTTGTCAAGCTCTTGATTAGCAAATCCAAGAAGGTGGTTTGGTATGCTGAAGAAGGAGAAGATTTCGTTGATTTGCTCTTCAGTTTCCTGACTGTTCCACTAGGGTTTATAGTCAAACAATGCAAGCTGGCAATTCAAAGGGATGCATAAACCCCCTATATGATAGTGTTCAGGGTCTTGATGCTGAGCAATACTAAAATCACAGGAAAAGAAGGCAATGCTACTGAGTCCCAAGCTTGCCCCTGGTTTTAGCTATGACAATCAACTGTTAGGCATTGAAGAAAATACACACCCAAAATATTAGCGGTCTTTGAAATCAAAATGGGATGGCATGCTAGTTTCTGATAAAATGCTTCTCCCTTCTGACAGCTCACGGACAGTTTCAGTTTTAAATGACATGGATCACAAGGATAAGAAAAGTGGTCAAAGATTTTTGAGGGGACCAGCATTGTTCACTGTAACAGATGATCATAACAGCTATATCCTCAATCTGAGGTCTTTCGGTTCTGAGCAAATTGAAGGTACCATTTAGTGATATAGAAGAGCACATTGTGCATGTGGGTGAAAAGGGGGTAAGTTAAAATTATCACTTTCTTCTGAAAACTTTCAGTAAGTATCATCTGATTTTCAACTTTCAAGCAGCAATACTTTCAAAAATTTTAAGGCCTTGATGAAAAAGTTTAGAATTGTTATTTTCCCTTTAAATTATTTCCCTGCTTTTTTTTTTCTCTTTTTCCACTTGGTCTGTCCTAATAGAACATTATGACGTAAATATGTTTTTTAATGGTATGAAGAGATGATTTATTACAAATTCATTCAAATGTACCTAGGTAGATCATATGGTTTATTAAAAATTCATTGTAAATGAGTCTTGGAAGATCATGACCTTGATGTTCTAATTTGCAATATGATCTAATTGGAGGATAAAGTTCTTGCACTTGGTTTCTTGTGGTTAAAGATTTTTCCCTTATTGTTTAGGCATCAATAGCATCTTCAGCTTCAGAGTGAGGTTAAATTATATATCTGTTTATTTTTCATTGAACAGCTCTTTTGAGTTCTTCAAACCTTGTTTAATTTTCCTGATCACCAGAATCTATAATTGCATTTGATTGTGTAGTGTTTCCTAAATTGATGCTTATGTTTAAGCACGTAAAGTCTTTTGTTCTAAAAGTTGAGAATATTGGTGAAGGTTCACTCATTGATCTTCCTGGTAAGTGGAGCAGTTGGAAGTTCAAAAATAGTTTTTCACTGTCTAGGTAGTTAAATGGATAAACCAACTTGGCATGGTTAACGAGAAAGTTATACCAGCAAAGGTTTACCTGCTATCAAGATAGTTCTAAAAGCAAACCTTTACAAAAAATTTATCATATGATAAAAAGCACCACTGGAGGTTCTAACTAGCTTTGTTGATGGTCTTTTGATGACCATCAGCAGGTAAGCCCAACCATTGAACCAAAATAGGGGGAAAAAAATTCCCTCTGAACATTGCCTGGCTGCTTAGATAGCATCTGCCTAGTTTTAAAGTTATGGCATAAAACTCAAATGATACCTACCATAACAATGTATCTCACAGTAATTTCTGACGTATCCTAATTTTGACATTTTGTTGTGTTGCAGGCTTTGCGTCTATTGGTAGCTTCTTTTATCTCAAAATCTGCTCTAACCGATTGCTTTCTACTCGCGGAGCCAAAGCAAGAATTTTGGGTTGTGATTTTTGAGGGGGTAATAGATGTCACCATTAGCCATCAGAAGCCTAGCTACTTTGATGTTAATTTTGTGGTGGTGCTTTGTATTGATGCATATATAGTTTATATTGTATGGACTAAGGAGGGTTGCTATGTTATCTTATCTATTATCAATATATGGCTAACGGATTCACCTATTACAATTGTAATCTTGTGTTTGCTTTACGATGCCATACCATATGATGTTTAAGTAAAAAGCTTTGGTCATCTGAGTACTTGTTTGTTTTAAGACAAGGAAAATGAGGATCACACAAAATTGCAGTCCAATTTTCAGTGCAAACAACTGGAATTTCAGCTTACAATTATTATGCTCTAAGGGCAAACACTGGTTAAACCTGAAGCCTCTCTGAAGTCGATGTGAAACTTGAAATAAAGCTAAGCTCCTCCAAGTCATTGGTGTGATATTTATTCAGGGATGGCTGCATAGCGAGGCTATTCTTGCACTAGACATAAGTATCCTGACTTAAATTTTGAGCGTGGTTTCCTTATTTCTCTGAAATAGGGAAAACAAAATGGTTGTATTCAACTGGTTATGAAATACAATCAAAATCCCTTATGTCAGAAGCAAGAGTCAGGATTGGACATTGGTGCCAGGACACGTACTGGGCAGTTTATGGGTGTTGCGAGGTTGAAATTTGGAACGAGAGAAAAAACCAGTGTAGCATGAGGTGATTCAGATATGAGATGATAACAAAGGTAAATTTAGCTTGTTGCTTGTATTAAGTTGCCAGAAATATGAATGAAGGCTAAAAGTTTAACAGAATGTAAAGAATCCGTACCAAAGGGAAAGAGAGAAGAAAAAGGTACATCTTACTCTTAACTTTTGTGATTTAATTAAGCGTTCATCTAACCTGCCAACCGTAACATCACCTATGCTAAGATTAAAGCATATTTTTTTGAGTTAAGAAGACCCCAAGTCAACAGCTTAACTGTGATTGTGACTGTACACTACTTCTCAACGAAGGACTTCCCTCAATAAATCTGATCATAGTTGACAAAGTACAGATCAAAGACTTAGACCCTAGCATACACCTTTTCCACTGTGCTTTAAGCTCTCTCCTGCCTGTCTCTTCTTAAACTGATAGGGAATATTTCACTAGTCTCCCAGCATTCTCAGGCTGCTTTTTTGGTCAGCTTTTGTTTCCAGGTAATATAGTCTCACATGCTAATATTTATAACTTGATGTTCGTGAACTTCTAGCTATTGCAATCTGTTTAGCGCTCCATTTGCAGATTTCTCTGCTCTGGCTTTTTTCAGTTAATGGTTTCTCTGCAAGTCTGCATTTTTTTTAGCAATCAAAAAAGTTTGGGGTGCTGTTTGAAAATTTTAAATCAAAGGCAGAAGTTTGATACCCTGAATGAACCTGGTTTAAAGGTGTTTGGATGGTTGTAATTTGGTTCCCCAGTGCCCTGGTAGAAAAGTGTCACTTGTTGTTTATCATCATAAAACCAGAATAAAGGGTATATCAGAAACAAGAACATTGCATCGAAAATTTTATTGAATTGCTTGTACTGTCATTCTTCGTTTTCTCAATTGATGATCCATGACCTATCAGTCTCTTTCCTTCATTTACATAGCTTGAGCAATACCCTGGGGAAACTCTAGAAAGGACTATTTAATTAATTACATAAGATGATTAAAGTTTTTACAGCAATCAAAACTTGAACAAATGATTCTGTTCCAATGAGAAGCCAAAGAAGTCTGAACTCTGCTTTTGATAAGCAAAAGAAGGTTGTTGAGTATTGTACTTCTCATGAACAAGATGTAGGATTCTTTTTCCTTTTTTATTCCAGAATGAAGCCCTGATTTTCCTATTTGTCAAATTTGATTTTAAATGAAATTTTAATCTAACCTTTCAACTTTCATTTG